AGCTCCTCTTGCTGGCTCCCAGCTTTGCCAGCAGCCCAGCTGTGGGGATTTCCCATCCTGTTCTCGCTGTGAATGGGAAACTGAGCCAGGAGGACACCTCAAAGCCCAGGAAGGAGGGGAGCGGAGCAAACCCTCATTCCCTGTATTTCCCTGTGTCTCCACCAGCCTGAGCGTTTACTCTGTACCTCCTCACTCTTTCTGCCTTAAAAACGGGGCAGACCTTCTGGCTATGTACCCAGAGAATTAGAAACAGGTGCAAACAGATACATGCTCACCCATGTTCATAGCAGCATTACTCTCCATAGACAAAGGTGGAAACAACCTGATTGTCCTTGGATGGATGGATGGATGGAAGGAAGGAAGGAAGGAAGGATGGACGGATGGACGGACGGATGGATGAACAAAGTGTGATCTTATACATACAGTATATTATTGTATACAGTGTGTTATTTAGCCATAAAAAGGTGTGACATTCTGACACATGCTACAACATGGATGAACCTGGAGGACATGATGATGAGTGAATAAGCCCGTCACAGAAGGACACATACTGTATGGCTGCACTTATATGAGATTCCCAGCATAGACAAGTTCACAGAGATGAAGGAAGCACAGTGGGTGCCAGGGGCTGGAGCAGGAGGAATGAGGAGGTGGTGTTTAATGGGCAGAGTTCCTGTTTGGGAAGATGAACATGTCTGGGGGTGGATGGTGATGATGGTTATACAGCCATCGTGAATGTATTTAATGCCGCTGACTTGTACACTTGGAAATTATTACAACGCTAAGTTTATGGTATGGGTAATTTACCGATGCAAAATTGGGACAAGCCCCGCCGGCGTGGCTCAGTGGCTGAGTGGCGACCAATGAACCAGGAGGTCAGGGTTTGATTCCCAGTCAGGGCACATGCCTGGGTTGCAGGCTTGATCCCCAGTGTGGGGCGTGCAGGAGGCAGCCAGTCAATGATTCTCTCTCATCATTGAGGTTTCTCTCTCGTTTTCCCTTCCTCTCTGAAATCAATAAAAAAATATATATATTTTTAAATGGGGCGTGAGTGGCTGAACTTCCAGCCCCATAGCTGAGAAGATGGACCATGAGGACAGCACGCTCTCCCTCTCCCTCCTCCTCCCTCTTCCCGTGTACAGAGACAGAGCTGGGCTTTCGTGCTGAAGGAGGCCTTCTGGCTCCCTGGTTGGGACTCATTCTGAAATGAAGAGGGAGCCCAAGTGACAGGTTAGCCTGGTTTCCCTCAGAAAGCAGAGTTCCTGGAAGCCCCCCAGGAGCAGGAGTCCGTGGGGGGAGTGACATGGGAGGGGATGACATGGGAGGGGGATGACATGGAGGGGGGGTGACATGGGGGGGTGATATGGAGGGGGGTGACATGGAAGGGAAGAGACATGGGAGTGGGAAGAGCCAGACAGAGGAGTATTGGATCTGGTCACCACTATGGGCCACTGGGGCTCCATCCCCTGGGACACATGGAGGGACTGTGTTGACAGCACCTCAGAAATGTCGTCTGGGAGACCGAAAAGGGGGCGTGTGCCCAGGCATGTTAGCTCCTGGCACTTCCAGGGTGCCAGCAGGGATCCTGCAGGTGTGCCCGGGCAGAAGGCGCCCAGGGGGGCAGAGGTCAGGTGCTGTCGGCTACACTGCATGCACCTGGTTGAGCAGCTGTGACTGGAGTAGAAGGGAGGGCAGCTGCGAGGATGTGCCTCAGGAGGCGTCCCAGACAAGTGTCCAGTGAGGGGCATCGTCTTTTCCCCTCTGGGCAGCAACATTCTGCGGGGTGGGAGTGGGTCTCAATGCCGGTCCTTTTCCTCGGTGAGCCAGGGGGGTTGGGGCTCCTCACAGGACAGGACTAGGGTAGGCCCAGGAGAGAGGCCCTAGGAAAAGCCCGCGTGAGTCCGGGAGGGCCCAACAGAGCAGAACAGAGGCCGCTGCTGGAGGCAGGGCCAGGCACCCATCCTCCTGGAAGAGCTCCAAGCCGGTGCCTGCAAAAGCCAGGCCTGCACCTGTGCCTGTGCCGGCGCCAGGAAGCCCTCGATAAGATCTGAAGTCTTCGAGGAATAATAGGCATGGCCTCAGGCACTACCTTTTCCTGCAGGCGGCTCCTTTCAGCCCTCTCTGGACATCAATCTTATCATGCCATCTGGCTGGGACCAGCAGCTGGGCACGGGCCCAGCCCTCCAAGCCCGAATCCCATTGCAGCACTTGAATTCATGGTGGGGACTGGGGAAGTGGGAGATGCCCTGAGGGCCAGAGCAGGCTGCCAGGAGAGGGGATGAAGAGGCAGTGAGGTGCAGGCGGACCTGGAGCTCTGCTGTGCTGATTTGGGCAAGTTACTTAACCTCTCTGAACCTCCGTTTTCTGAGTAGCCTAATTATACTGATCTCATAGCGTTGTTGTGAGGGGTAAGTGGTGAAGGCATATCAAGTGCTGAGAAGAATGCCTGGCACATGATCTGGGCTCAGTACATGTTAGTCATTCCTGTTCTTAGAAGGCACAGTGCTCATGCCCATAGGTCAAAACCGGGTGAATCCTTTGCCCTCTAGCCGCCACTAAACCTGGGGATTGGGCCGTTGCCAGGAGAGGACCTCTGGATTCGGTGGGTGGAGGGAATGGGAAAGTGCTTCGGGGTGAGGGGCACAGTGTGAGCAAAAGTAGAGGCAGAAGGAGCCTTGCATGTTGGTCTTCTGTTGCTGCCCAGCACATTACTACCAACCCAGTGGCTTACAGCAATGCCGTGTATTACCTCCCAGTTTGGAAGTGAGAGTCACACTCGGTGTATCACGAGGCTGAGATCAAGGCTTGCCAGACTGGGCTCGTGTCTGGAGGCACAGGGCCAGCAAAGTCTGCTCCCAGGCGCATTGGGTTTTGCAGAATTGACTTCCTTGCGCTTTTACGGCTAAGGTGCCCTTCTCCTTCCTGCCATTGACCAGCGATTCCCAGAGGCTGCTCCGTTCCTTGCAGGTGCCCCCTCCTTCTCGCCAGCAGTGGTGTGTCCTGTCTTTCTTGTGCTGTGAATCTTTGTCTCTAGCTCCAGTCCCAGATTTAAGAGATTCATGTGATGGATTAGGCATAGTCTCCCTATATTCAAGTCCACTGATTTGGAGTTTAATTACATTTGCAAGATCCCTTCGGTGTTTCATTGAGTAACTGGGAGGAGGTGTACACGCAGGACCCTCTCATGGTTCTGCCCAGCACACAGGCATATGCTTGGGGCAGGCAGCGGAGTAGACGGGGCTGCAGGAGGTCATGGGCAGCGGTTGGAGCAGGAGGGATAAGTGGATGTTGGTGGTGGGAGGGATGGAAGACCACTGTAGGCCTTGAATGGCAGGTGGAAGGAGGGGCATCGGACACACCGCACCTCTGACTGTGGCCTTGCACCACTAGGCATGCTTATTCCAATCGGAAATGACTCCCTTCAGACCCACTGCCCCCTGAGCCTCCACACTGGGGTGTCCCTACTCTGATGAGGGCTCCTGGGCCTGAAACCTCGGACCACTCCCTCTGGAATGGAGCAGGCCCCAAACCCCAAGGCCACGGAGCTCAGGAGCCCAGAGCTAGCTCCCTCTAGCATCATCCACTCCCCTGCAGTGGCCTGGGGTCCAAGGGAGGCTGGGCTCCTTGCAGCAGCCAAAACCCAAAAACCAGAGTCAGAAGGTGTGTGTCCAACTGTCGCCAACCCAACCTCTGACCAGGTCAGCAGGGGTGTGGGAGTCAGCATTCGTGAACTTGGTGGCATTTCTGGAACCCGTGGGCCATTCCTTGTCCTGCTTTGGATCCATGAGTTAAAAACTCAACCAAACCTTGATCATTGGTGAATACGTTCTAAAAAAAGTCCTCAGTAATCCAAGGCTTTGAAATTCAAATGTTCCTTGAAACATACCAGGACCTGGTGTTCATTACGAACAGTCACAGCCTAGGCAGGCGCAGGCCGCCCTCTGAGTCTCGGATCTCGGGGCGTACATTCAGGTCATCTGTGTGCCCAAGCGCGGTGGGTTGGTAGATGGCATTCTCCTGGTGAAACCATGTGCAGCATCCTCTAGCTGAGGGGACTCCCCTTGGAGAGCAGCGATGTCCAGACAAGGAAAGGGACACCAGACAATCTTTGATGTCCCTTCCCATCTGGCTTAGAACCTGTCAGGAAAGGGGGAGGGTCCCCGGTAGGAAGGGACCTGGAGGTGAGAAAGGTTCTAGCTCTTCCCACTTCCAGGTGGTCAGGTGGGAGCTGTGAGCAACGGGTGGGAGAGGGAAGTAGAGGTGGCTCACCAGGCCGGGGCCCCTAAAGCAGCTGGGTCCACCCAGTTGGCCCGGGAAGGGACAGCAGTTCTGTTGTTGGATTTCAGCAGTGTCCCTGGAATGCCACCCAGGTTATGCCAGGTCGCATCTGAGAGAAGGCTCAAGGGCTAACCAGGGTATGCAGGGTGGCCAGCCAGCCTCCATGGCTAGACCACGCCCTCCCAAACCACCCACCAGGCCTTTCACCTCTGTCATTAAAAGCAGGTCACATTCCTACAGACTGAGCCCAGCATGGGTCCCGGAGCCGCACCATCACAAGGCTGCGGGACTGTGCTTATAACTTCAGGCCTGCAGGCTCCAGCTAATGTAGGGAGAATCTGGTGTCCAAAGAGAAGACATCTTTTTAGAAGGAGGCATTTCCTTGGCGGGTTTGTGTCTGAGGATCCCCGATATATCCTAAAGGTTGGGGCAGGGACACCAAAGCCTGTGGTCTATTTCTGCTTTATTGGCAGCGTTTCTTAACTCCAAGTTGGGAAATGGGTCTGTTTTCTGCTTTTTCCCAGATGGCAAGGTCTAGGTATGACTAATACCAAACATCGCACACGTTCCTGTGTTGGTCAGTTAGGCAAGTTACCTGTCTTGTGTGGGCCTCAGTTTCCCTTTCCACACAGGGGAATCAACAGCATGTACCTCACACTGACGAGGGCATGGCCTCCGCCTCCAGCTTTGTCTCACAGAGCCTTGCTCTTTCTCTCCCGCAGCCCTGACCCAGCCCGAGCTGGAGGGATGGAGAACTCCTCCGCAGCATCTGCCTCCTCTGAGGCTGGGAGCAGCCGCTCCCAGGAGATCGAGGAGCTCGAGCGGTTCATCGACAGCTACGTGCTCGAGTACCAGGTGCAGGGGCTGCTGGCAGACAAGACGGAAGGTGATGGTGAGAGCGAGAAAACGCAGTCCCACATCTCCCAGGTGAGCATCGCCCCAGGGAGGAGCAGAAGGGCTGGGGCCTGGGCAGGTACAGGGCCTGGGAAAACTCAAAGGGTGTGATAAGGGGACCCTAAGTCTAGTTGCCTGGCCCTAGATCGCTGGGATGTGGATGGTCCCACCCACAGAGCGTGGGATCCCTGCAGGAAGCCCCTCTCAGCCCCTCTGACCCACCTCTGGTCTGTCCCACCCTATTGGGCCAACGTTCGATTAACGCTACACAGATTTATTGAGCACCTACTATGTGTTCTACCCTATTTATTCCCTGTCCTCTATACGCTTATGTTCTGGGAGAGATCTAGGGGTTGCAGCTTATCCAAAATGCACACAATGAGAAGGCTGTGACTTGTGAATGTTTTCTCTGATTTCAAATACAGGCAGGTTTGGGCAGCCACAGAATCGAGTCTCTCTGGCAATCCCTCAGGGCTCGGTGTCAGACCTAGTGAGGCCCTTGAGGCGTTCTGACCAGGGTCTCAGGCTGGTCTCGCCCCCTCCTGGTCAGTCTGTGGTCTTGGGTGGAAGGTGGACTCGGATGGTAGACTGTGGGCCAAGATTGGGATGGAGAGGAAGCGCTCTTGCTGCCTCCCATAAGTGTCCGGGAGCTGTCTCCCAGGAGCTGGCCCCATGGACAGGTAGGTGGGGCCAGCCTGGTGGGTGCTGCCTGCCTCTGCCACCATCTGGACTGTGGTGGCTCCAGCAGGGCATCTTCCAAAGGTTCTTCCAAGTGAAATGGGTTCTTACAGGAGGAGGGTCCAAGGAAGCCACGAAGCTTCACCCTAGCTGAATGCTTTGTGAATTTCTGTTTGCAAAGCAGGCCCTGGAGAGAGAATTTCGGAAGGAGGGGCCTGCCAGTGACTTTGACCTTCCTGTGGTGACTGCTGAGCTCTCAGGAGGACACCAGATAGAGAGGTGCCCTCTGTCTGGGCCCTGCACTGCTGGCTCCTGCTCCTGGGCCTGACCACGCGCCAGTATCCACATCTGGAGGGGCTTTAAACAGATGCGTGTTGCCCTGGCCGGGTGGCTCAGTTGGTTGGAGCATTGTCCCCTATACCAAAGATTGTGGGTTTGATTCCTGGTCAGGGCACATACCTAGGTTACAGGTTCAATCCCCGGTCGGGGCACATATGGGAGGCAACCGATCGATGTTTCTCTCTTTCTCTCCCTTCCTCTCTCTAAAAAATCAGTAAAAAAAAATCCCCAGGTGAGGATTTAAAAAATAATAAAATTAAAAGGCAACAACAAAAATAGATGTTGGTTGTGAGGCAGAGCGTGGACAACATGGCCATTGGTAACATCTGGACGCATTCCTTAAACTTCCTGCATTTTATG